CATGTTTCCAAATGATAGCTTCATCAGTCCATTCCTACAATTAATCAATACATTAGAAGTTGCAAGAAATGGACGTCCTAAAATAATAGGAAATGAATTACATACTTCAACAGGTTGTGTGTCCAAGACAATAAAATCCACAGGATAAATGAATTTATCGACTTGTACTAACACATCTTCAATTATTCCTTTAGGCACTTTTATAGATCTATCGGCAAGTAAAAGAGTTATAGAAGTTGATTTTAACTCACCTAGATTGAGACTCTGAAAAACTGAATATGGAAGTAAATTCACACTAGCACCAAGATCAAGTAAGGCTCTTTCAATTTTATGCTCTCCAATAAAGCAAGAAATTGTAGGACAACCAGGGTCTTTATATTTCAAAGCATTATTGTTTTGAAGAATAGCACTTACTTGTTCGGCTAGAAAGGCTTTCTTTTTCACATTCAGTTTCCTCTTCACAGTGCATAGATCTTTCAAAAATTTAGCATAGGAAGGAACCTGTTTAATAGCATCCAACAAAGGTATATTGATCCTTACCTGTTTGAAAGTTTCAAAAATTTCAGAGTTGTGATTGACTTTCCTTTGTTTGGTCATGGCATGAGGAAATGGAAGTGCTGGCGGGAAATCAGTCATTTCTTTGCAATTTTCAGATTCAACCCCTTCCTTACCCTCAGAGATTGACTCATCATCTTTCTCATAAGGTTCAAGAGAGGGTTTTTCAATAACCTTACCACTGCGCTGAGTAGTGACTGATTTGACTTGATCCATGTGTTGGCTTCCAGAACTACTTGCATTTACATTGTATTGCCCCTTGGGATTTTGTTGTGGTTGAGATGGAAACTTACCTTTCTCTTGGAAACTAAGAGCAGATGTTAATTTTGCAAGAGTATCTTTAAAATCTGTCATGTTTTGAGCAAGTTGAGTATTGATTGTCTCTTGCTTTTCAATGAATGCATGCAATGTTTCCTCAAGATTTCTTCTAGAAGGTGGAGCATAAGGAGGTGCATATCCATGAGAATTTTGGAAATTGTGGAGTGCTTGAAATGGTGGTTGTGAAGTTTGTGCATTGTTGTTCTCACTCTTCCAACTAAAATTTAGGTGATTTCTCCGACCAGGGTTGTATGTTTGGGAGTATGGGTTGTGGTTGGCCCTTTGAAAACTGTTTAAAGCATGGGCTTGTTCATGGAGACATTCCTTAAAAGAAGGCAAGGTTGGACAATCGTTGGTTGAGTGTTCATTTGTTTCACAGATTTGACACACAATGTTTTCAACAGATTTTAATTGACCACTCTTTTTCAATTCTAGTGCCTCGACTTTTCTAGCTAAAGATGCAAACTTGGCTTGAAGGTCATGATCTTCCCTAAGGTTGTACATACCTCCACTAGATGTATGAGGTTGAAGCTTGGAGGTCATGATCTTCCCTAAGGTTATACATACCTCTACTAGATGTATGAGGTTGAGTTTTACTCGGTGCCTCATATGTACCCACAGTGTCCCAATTTTGAGCATTTTCAGCTAACAAGTCTAAGTACTCCATTGCTTCATCAGGGTCTTTATCTTCAAAAGTTCCATTGCACATCAATTCAACCATTTGCCTATCTTTAGGTGTTAACCCTTCATAGAAATGTGAAACCAATCTCCATGTTTCAAAACCATGATAAGTGCAAGTACTAAGCAAGTCTCGATACCTATCCCAACATTGGTAAAATGTTTCTCCTGGTTTTTGAGTGAAAGTAGTGATTTGTCTTTTGAAAGAGTTTGTTCTGTGAGATGGGAAAAACTTCTTCAAAAACTGTTGTTGCATTTCATCCCAAGCACGAATGGATCCTGGTCTTACATTTTGTAGCCATGTTTTAGCTTTATCTTTTAATGAAAAAGGAAAAAGCTTTAATCTGATGGTGTTCATGCTACAATTTAAATTATTATATGTGTTGCAGACCTCCTCAAATTCCCTTAAATGCAAGTATGGATTTTCCAATTCTAAGCCATGAAAAGAAGGTAAAAGTTGAATAATACCTGGTTTAAAATTAAAATGAGATGCATCAGGAGGAAAAACTATGCATGATGGTGCACTTGTTCTTGTGGGATTCATGTGGTCTCTAAGTGTTCTAGCACGGTTATTCTCATTATTCTCATTATGAAGTGATTGATTATCTTCTTCGGCCATATTTTCTGATTCATTATGAAGTGATTGATTATTTTCTTCAGCCATATTTTCTGAAAATGATGAGGATACCCTACAAAGTCTACCACTTGATGTACGTGACCACACTCTCATGCATGTGTAAGAATAAAATAAAAGGAAAAAGAAAATAAAAGAAGAAGAAACAAGAAAAAAGAAACAAAGTTATATACAAGAAAAGTGAAAAGAGAAAATAAAATAACTACTATAATTTATACAAAACTTACCTCCCCGGCAACGGCGCCAAAAACTTGACACGACTAAAAGATTGATGTTTTCTCCCAAGTGCAGGAGTGTCGTAGTAATAAATAACCTGGCAAGACCGGGGTCGAACCACAGGGAGGTTAATTGTACAAATTATAAACAACAATTATAAACAACAACAATAGTAATAATAACAACAACAATAATATTAGTAGCAATAATAATAATAATAATAATAATAATACTAGTAGTAATAATAATAATAGTAATAGTAATAATAATAATAAGAATAATAATAAAGAAGAAGTTGATGAGAACTTTGAGATGAAAGATTAACGTAAGGATTAACAATGATAATAACAAATGTCAAGGTTAGAGATTCCACTAATGGTATGTCAAACAAGTATAGTATAAACTCTTATTATTCAATTGGAAACCACACATAAAGGAGGTTCCAATCTGATTATAGATTGTTAACATGATTACATTAGTCATCTTATTCGATTAATGCTAATACTTATAAATCTCGTCAAGCATTCATGATTATAACTTATGTTAACAACAAATCAAGTTCCTTTCATAGCTCAGGTGTCGGTTATACCATACATTATGGGCTATGAAAGTGCCAAGCATTTGGTATGAAGTATGAAAGTGCCAAGCATTTGTTGTACCAAGTGTTATACAACATAAATCAAGATTAGTCATTTAAGAAGCAAAGTATTAAAGAGTAAACAAGATAACAAATACAAAACATGTTAGTATCAAACATTAAAGTCCATATTAAGTTTACACTATACTTATTCTTACACCATTAGTGTAACCTTTTCACCTTGACATAATAAACTTAGCTAGACATAATGAAATAAAGAAAAATAAATAAACAAAACAAGAACATAAATAAGATAAAAGTTAGCTAAGTAAATGAAAGGAAATGAAAGGCATAAACTTGATATTAATGAAAGCAAAGCATAAACATTACAAAAAATACAAAGAGAGAAAGCAAGAGCATGATCTTGATCTGGAAACCAAGATGCCTAAATGCATGGCAAATGCCTCCTTTTATAGACCAAAATTGGGAACTATTGATTTAATGACTAATTGATGAGTAGGTGGCCAACTCTTGACTTGGTGACAATCCTTATCTTCTCTTGTCTGCCCAAAACGTCATTGAAAACGTCAACATTGGAGCCACTTGAAAACATGAACATTGTAGGAAATTGTCTCAGCTTTCTTGTGTAAACAAATCAGGTCATTTGGACTTCTAGAACTCCAGATATGGGCCAAACACTGAACAGTGCTCGGGCTGGAAGATAGATTTGGACTTCTTTGTTGTTGCTCCAATTTGGACTTGAAAATGACCTTTTTAGATCTTGGGCTCCATATAAAAGTTGTAGGCCTATATCTTACATTTCCATCCATATAAAGTGGACCTAAATCTGAGATCTATAACTCCATATATGATCCAATTACCGAACAGTGTTCCGGTATGGACTGCACCGGCATCTCTTTTCGGAGTTTAGCCATCTCTTTGTCCTTTCCAATTTAAGTTCTTAAAGTCATCAATCAATCCTTTCATTTATGTGATAGGCCTGCATTTAAAATGAACATTTACCACAAATTAAAGGTATTTTATATTATTAGATATATTATTATAAAACATGCTTTAGTTAAAGAGTTATTGATACTTAAAGTGCAAAATGATGATATAAAACCATGATAAAAATGCACTTTTAAGTACTAATCATTAGACTACAATAACCTAATAAAAAAAAATATGAAGCACATCATCAACCTGAATCACCAATCAACATATTGTGAAAGGATAAAATTGAAACAAATAAATCTAATAGCCAAAATAAGACAAAAAAATATATAATTTTTTAAATAAAGAACTGATTTTTCACCTTACTTTCAATTTTGATCTCTTCTTTTATTTTTTTTAATTTTTTGCAATCAATTAACTCAAATTCTGTTCTACAAAATAAAGAACAACTCAATAATGATAAGCTTTTTTTTTAGAAAGTAATATAAAATAAATAATCAAATCCATTCATATTAATTAATGTAATATAAAAAAAATAAAATTAAAAAAATCAATAGTAAATTGTATAAAACATTTTAAAGGATAAAATAAAAAAATAATTATAATTCATAGTGATTAATTTATTTTTTAATATTACCTACTAGTAATGGTAGGATTGATCTTTGTGATGCTAAAATTGCAAACGTTGAATGATAGAGCGGTTTATTAAACCAAACAGTATTTAACGTTAAAGGTAGATATTTGAAAGAGCGCGTGTGAAAATGTCCACATAGTATTTCTCCTTCGTTCCGCTTTTGCTTTCCATACTAGTTGCGACTGAGAGGGTTAGATAGCATTTAGCAAGATGCGTCAAGAAATCAATAAAAAGAAAGAGACGGGGGAAGGGGGGAGAGAAATTGCGTGGTCCACTGCTGCCTTGCTATTTTTATTTGTTTTTCGTACGACTGCGTGGTCCCTACTCCGACCAACCCAATTGGGCGTACCACGAAACAAAACACCACCTCTTTCCAACAAGTCTCCCAGGAGCACCAACCCAAACAACCCAGCCTAGGTTCCTGAACCTCACCGAGCCAGAGCCACTAGCTCCCACTTCCCCTCTTATCTATATAACATCCCATCTCCTCCACTTCTCTCACATCCGAAAACCAATTTCGCATATCCTCCTCTCCTCTCCTCTCCAATAGTAATAAAATTTCATTTCTCATTTCAGCAGCACCAAAGTGGGTTTTTTCTTTTTCCCTGGTAGCTATAAAAATTCTCTAGAGTTCAAGAATAGGGGTTAAAAACCCAGGGTAGACGAGTTGTAGACATCACGGCTATACACGGAGTAACTCGGCCTCTAATTCATGTCCGGGCTGTACGACGTAAGGGTTGTTTAATAGAGAGCAGCAACCCTTCGCCGCACGGTGGACGTGGCGCTCTGCCCTCCGAAGGCGGCAGCCCTTCTGATCTCCTCTTTCTTGCTGGTGGCGGTTTCTTCTTCTTTTAAGTTAGTTGTAGCTTACTATTATTACTATTATTATATTACCTATCACATCTAAAATAGAAAATAAAATCATTCGAATTTTGTAAAATCAATAAGTAAAGCATTAGATCTCGAATAAACGAACAAGATGATGCTAAGGATCAAAAGGGTTCCTACTGTTCTTTCCAACTACCAGAAAGAGGAAGGTGAGGAGGGTTCTCGCCGCGGAGGGGGTTGCGGCCGCAATTGCCTTCAAAATTGTTGCCTTCAAGGTATTTTTATTTTATTTGAAGATCTTTAATTGAAACCTCGTTTGGTTTGATTTATGTTTATTAAACATTTGCTGTATGGATAGGCGCACGCCTACCTTTATATACTTTCAAGAAAGTGGACAGGATTATCACAGAGCAGAAGGATGTGTTTGAACATGACAAGAGTGAGCCTCCAGTTGCCTTCCTCAATTCGCTCCTTCTCGGGGAGGTATTATTACTTAACATACTCTTAACTCAAGCACGTTCCATTGATTTATTTATTTACACATCTTTTCGCAGTTGAGTAGTCAATTTTAAGTTTACTTTATGTACCTATTCGAATTTTTAGTGGGAGGACCGTATGCAGAGAGGGCTCTTTCGCTATGATGTCACCACCTGTGAAACCAAGGTCTTAATTCTCTTTTATTATCATTATTTGGTTGCAATTTGAAGCTGAGTCTGTTATAATAATATGGTAGTATTTACGTAATTGGATATGAGATTTCTGCCTAATCTTTGGTGATGTTCCTTTAGGTGATACCGGGTCGCAATGGTTTTATCGCTCAGCTAAATGAAGGCCGTCACTTGAAGAAGAGGCCAACTGAATTCCGCGTCGATAAGGTCCTCCAGCCCTTCGATGGAAACAAATTTAACTTCACTAAGGTTGGCCAAGAAGAGATCCTCTTCCAGTTTGGAGAGAGTGAAGATGGGGAAGTCAAGTTCTTCCCGGATGCCACTATTGATGCTGAGAATTCTCCAAGCGTGGTTGCCATCAACGTACATCCTTGGTTCTTGTCTTACATCATTGTATTTCTTTGATTGACAGTGGTATCTGAGTAGAGCAGTAAGATGATGGTTGATTACTTTTGCTGTGTCAATTTAACAGGTGAGCCCTATTGAATATGGGCATGTGCTGTTAATCCCGCGCGTCCTGGATTGCTTGCCTCAGAGGATTGATCGTGATAGCTTCTTGCTTGCACTTCACATGGCAGCTGAAGCTGGGGATCCATACTTCCGACTGGGTTACAATAGCCTGGGTGCTTTTGCAACCATTAACCATCTTCACTTTCAGGTTACTATCCAAATAGCTATATCTTTTTCAACTTGAATAATCATATCCCTTAGAAGTGGTCGGTAGTTCATTCGATAATGAGCTGGCAATTTGATAATGTACATGGAACAGGCTTACTACTTGACTGTGCCTTTTCCGATTGAGAAGGCATCCACCAAGAAGATAACTACGTTGGATGGTGGTGTGAAAATCTCTGAGCTTGTGAATTATCCTGTCAGAGGTCTCTTCTTTGAGGGTGGAAATGCCCTGCAAGATTTATCTAACACTGTCTCAGATGCCTGCATTTGCCTTCAAGAAAACAACATACCTTACAATGTGCTCATTGCTGATTGTGGAAACCACATCTTTCTCCTTCCACAGGTAATGAACATGGGAGCAACATAGAGTTGACTTATTTGCTTGTTGATATTTTAACTGCATAGATTACACTTGTCTTCAATTCTTTAATATTGTCTAATGGATGAACAGTGTTATGCTGAGAAGCAAGCTCTAGGGGAAGTGAGTTCGGAGGTTCTTGATACCCAAGTGAACCCTGCTGTGTGGGAAATCAGCGGCCATATAGTGTTGAAGAGGAAGAAAGACTATGAGGAGGCATCGGAAGAGAATGCATGGAGGCTTCTTGCTGAGGTGTCTCTTTCCGAAGAGAGATTCCAAGAAGTGAATGCTCTCATCTTTGAAGCTATTTCCTACAGTGGTAATTGCAGTGGAACTGATTCTGAGAACGTGCTTGAAGATGCAAATGTTGAACATCAATCTCTTGAAGAAGTGAATGCCATTAATGAAAACTCCCATTCAGCCATGATTACTGGGAGTCATGGATGTCTAGTTCTGCAGTGAGTATCGGGCTTTGGTGAGCAGACCAGTGACATATCTGGCTCTCAAATAAGCTTATGGCAGTTTTGGCATACAAGTGGTCTTCACTTGTGTGTTTGTGGATTATGGCATTAGTCTAAATAAGCAAACTAGGTTTTGCATTTTTAAACTTGGTGTGGATTGTTGTCTTTAGCATTTCTGGTTTTGTATTCAGCCTATTAACCATGTAATGTGGTATTTGTATGTACTGCATGGGATTTGTGTAAAATAGTATGGAATGTTTGCTCTTTGGAACTCGTGTCTTTTCATGACAACTTTCTTCCGGGCACTGAATCCAAATGAGACTTTAATATGGACATGTAGAAAAATTAGGTAAATGATTTATGAATTATACCACTATACATATTTTTATGGATTTTGTACTTTAATTTATTGTTCCTTGGATGATTTTATCATTATGTTCGTTAGTTTGTCTGTCCATTTATTGTTCCTTGAATGATTTTATTATTATGTCCAGTATCGTTAGTTTGTCTGTCATGTGATTGACATTCATTCGCTGAACCATAAAGAAAATAATGAAAGGTGTTTTTCGCTTACCTCTCTAAGATTTTGAACTAAAAAATATAGAATCAAACAACTCACCGCATAAAAATCCGGATTGAATAACCATTTCAGAAATATAAAGTTAAAGAAAATAATACTGACAAAGTAAAGGAAATGATAATGAATTTGACACATGTCAATTTGCCTGGGTTAAACGATTTCAATTCAATTTTTTAAAACATTAGAACATATGATCTCAACCATAATTATATATTTGAAATATATTTTTAAATCTAGAAAATATCAAAATAATATAAATAAAACCTAATAATAATCTGAATAGTCTTTAAAAAAAATACTAAAATAACATAAATGAAACATAATAATTGAATTTAATAGAATTATAAAAAATAAATAACAATAACTCGTTTTTAATTTTAAAAAAATGCAAACAACCACTTAGAAAACTCTAAAATTAAAATTGACACAATTCTTTATAGAAAATTTTAATGCATGCATGACTAGCCAACTTGTAAAGATGATATTTTGCACTTGAAAACCATGTAGGATCCACTTATTTTCCTGGGCAATAAAAAAAATAAAAAAATTAGTTTTTATAAGGGAGATAATATTTTATTTTTTAAGGCTTTTTTTTTATATACATGTATTTTTATAAAATCTATAATTACATATATTGAATGCTAAATAAAATTTTTTAATCTTCATAACTTTTAGGTATAGTTTGACATGATTAAAATATTGATGTCTTCTTCTAAGTGCAGGAGTATCGAAGTAATAAATAACCCAGCAAGACCAGGATCGAACTACAGGGAGGTTAATTGTATAAATTATAAATAACAATAAAATAATAACAACAACAACAACAACAACAATAATAATAGTAATAATAATAATAATAAAAATAAAATAAAATTGATGAGAACTTTGAGATGAAAGATTAATGTAAGGATTAGACAATAATAACAACAAATGTTAAGGTTAGAGGATCCACTAATGGTATGTTAAACAAGTATAATATAAACTCTTATTATTCAATTGGAAACCATATACAAAGGAGGTTCCAATCAGATTATAAATTATTAACATGATCACATTAGTTATCTGACACGATCAAAAGATTAATGTCTTCTCCCAAGTGCAGGAGTGTCGAAGTAATAAATAACCCGGCAAGACCGGGGTCGAACCACAGAGAGGTTAATTGTACAAATTATAAATGACAATAGTAACAACAACAACAATAATAATAGTAATAACAACAATAACAATAATTACAATAATAGTAGTAGTAGTGGTAATAATAATAATAGAAGAAGAAGAAAAAGAAGAAGTTGATGAAAACTTTAAGATGGAAAGATTAACGTAAGGATTAAATAATGATATTAACAAATGTCAAGGTTAGAGGCTCCACTAATGGTATGTCAAACAAGTATAGTATAAACTCTTATTATTCAATTGAAAACCACACACAAAGAAGGTTCCAATCAGATTATAGATTGTTAACATGATTACTGACATGACGAAAAGATTGATGTCTTCTCCCAAGTGCAGGAGTGTTGAAGTAATAAATAACCCGGCAAGACCGGGGTCGAACCACAAGGAGGTTAATTGTACAAATTATAAACAACAATTATAAACAACAACAATAGTAACAATAACAACAATAATAATAATAGTAGCAATAACAATACTAATAATACTACTACTACTACTACTAGTAGTAGTAGTAGTAATAATAATAATAATAACAATAACAATAACAACAACAACAACAACAATAAAGAAAAAGAAGAAGAAGAAGAAGAAGAGTTGATGAGAACTTTGAGATGAAAAATTAACGTAAGGATTAAATAATGATAACAAACAATGTTAAGGTTAGAGCATCTACTAATGATATGTCAAACAAGTATAGTATAAACTCTTATTATTCAATTGGAAACCACACACAAAGGAGGTTCCAATCAGATTATAGATTGTTAACATGATTACATCAGTCATCTTATTCAATTACTGCTAATACTTGTAAATTTCGTCAAGCATTCATGATTATAACTTATGTTAACAATAAATCAAGTTCCTTTCATAGCTTAAGTGTCGGTTATACCATATAGTATGGGCTATGAAAGTGCCAAACATTTGTTGTACCAATTGTTATACAACATAAATCAAGTTTAGTCATTTAACAAGTAAAGTATTAAAAAGTGAAAAAGATAACAAATATAAAACATGTTAGTATCAAACATTAAAGTCCATATTAAGTTTATACTATACTTATTCTTACAACATTAGTGTAACCTTTTCACCTTGATATAATAAACTTAGCTAGACATAATGAAAGAAAGAAAAATAGATAAACAAAATAAGAACATAAATAAGATAAAAGTTAACTAAGTAAAGGAAAGGAAATGAAAGACATAAACTTGATATTAATGAAAACAAAGCATAAATATTACAAAAAATACAAAGAGAGAAAGTAAGAGCATGATCTTGATTTGGACACCAAGATGCCTAAATGCATGACAAATGCCTCCTTTTATAGACCAAAATTGGGAACTATTGATTTGATGACTAATTGATGAGTAGGTAGCCAACTCTTGACTTGGTGACAATCCTTATTTTCTCATGTCTGCCCAAAACGTCATTGAAAACGTCAACTTTGGAGCCACTTGAAAACATGAACGTTGTAGGAAATTGTCTCAGCTTTCTTGTGTAAACAACTCAGGTCATTTGGACTTCTAGAACTCCAGATATGGGCCAAATACTGAACAATGCTCGGGCTGGAGGACATATTCGGGCTTCTTTGTTGTTGCTACAATTTGTACTTGAAAATGGCCTTTTTAGATCTTGGGTTCCATATGAAAGTTATAGGCTTATGTCTTACCTTTCTATCCATATAAATTAGACCTAAATCTAAGATTTACAGCTCTATATATGACCTAATTACCGAACAGTGTTCCGATATGGACTGCACCGACAACTTTTTTCTAAGTTTGGTCATCTCTTTGCCCTTGCAATTTAAGTTCTTAAAGTCATCAATCAATCCTTTCATTTATGTGATAGGCCTGCATTTAAAATGAACATTTACCACAAATTAAAGGTATTTTAGATTATTAGATATATTATTATAAAACATGCTTTAGTTAAGGAGTTATTGATACTTCAAGTGCAAAATGATGATATAATCATGAATGACTAATGTAATCATGAATGCTTGACGAGATTTACAAGTATTAGCATTAATCGAATAAGATGACTAATGTAATCATGTTAACAATCTATCATCTGATTGGAACCTCCTTTGTGTGTGGTTTCCAATTGACTAATAAAAGTTTATACTATACTTGTTTGACATACCATTAGTGGATCCTCTAACCTTGACATTTATTGTTATCGTTGTTAAATCTTTACGTTAATATTTCATCTCAAAGTTCTCATCTTCATCTTCATCTTCATCTTCTTCTTTATTATTATTATTATTATTATTAAGATTACTACTACTACTACTACTAATACTATTATTATTATTATTATTATTATTATTATTGCTGTTCTTACTATTATTATTGTTGTTATTGTTGTTGTATTATTGTTATTTATAATTTATACAATTAACCTCCCTATGGTTCGACCTCGGTCTTGCCGGGTTATTTATTACTTCGACACTCCTGT